ACAAGCAGGGGGAGTGGGAGAGGGAGAAGTAGGCTTCCTGCGGAGCAGGCAGCCAGACGTGGGGCTGGATCTCAGGACCCTAAGATCATGACCTGAGCCGAAGGCAGACACTTAACGACGGAGCCCCCCAGATGCCCACTTTGCTAACTTTTAAATGAGCCATTGTGGTAGGCAGATTAATGGACCCTAAATCTATCCACGTCCTAATCCCTGGAACCTGTCAATGTTAGATACCACATTAAAGGGAGATTAAAGTTGTAGATGGAATTAAGGTTGCTAAACAGCTGATGTTAAAACAGGGAGAGGATCCTGGATTGTCCAGGTAGGATCTGTAATTAACATAATTAAAAGTGGATGGTGGAGAGAGAAGGAGGAACCAAGGGAGGGGAAGTGATGTGAAAGCAGATGTCAGAGCAAAGCAGTGAGGACTCAACCACACTTGCTGGTTGTGAAGATGGAGAAAAGACCACGAGGCAAGGGATTGGAAGAGCGTCTAGAAGCTAGGAAAAGCAAGAAAATGAATTTTCTCCTTGGAGCCTCCTAAATCCCAGAGAGACTGTGCTCGACTTCAGTCCTAAAGAATTACAGGATAATAAATTTGTGTTCCTTTATGCCACCAAATTTGTGGTAATTTTTTTAAGGCAGCAGTTAAGAAATGAAGACAGCTGATGTGATGGGGGTACTCTGAAGTATGGGGTAAATGGGAAGGGTGAGATGGATGACTCTAAGTAGCGTAAGAAGGAATCCCTGGAAAGCTCGTGTGACCACGTCCTGTGAGGAGGGATGGGGGAATGTAAGGGCAGGTGCCATTGAAGAAAGCAGAAGCATAGCATGGTGATGGAGAGAAAGACGCTTTGAAGCCCATGTTTCTGGGTTCGAATCATGGCCCTATCACTTATAAGCTGTGAACTGTGGTATAGATTTTTTAAAAATCCTATATGCCTCAGTTTCTCCCTTTAAAATGAGATTCAAAATAGTACCTCCTACTCATAAGATTGTTGTGAAGATTAAGTACTTGAGCATGGATGAAGCAATTAAAAGAGGCTTCCAGCACACCCTGATTGCTTAATAAATGTTACTTAGCATTACAATGATTATTGCTATTATTCTGGTTTTCTGCTTGGTGAACTCTGGGTTCCTTGGATTCGATTTTATCAGAGTCATCCTTTGAGGCTGGTTTCCTCAATTCTGCAGTGGGTCCCTGGATTGGACCAGCAGGACGGTGGCTGGGGCCCTGGTCGTGGGAGGTGAGACGGTCGGTAGTGGACAAGGGAAGGAGAGTGGGGGCCTGACAGGTGGTGAGGCCACTGGTAAGCTCCAGCTATTTGTAAATTGTTAAGATCCAGCCTGGTTTCAAATGCAGGGAATTCTCCACTGTCTACCCAGCAACAGGAGGTCAGAGAAATTTGACAATCTTTGAGTCTTGACTTCCTCAGAATGTTGACAACTCAAGAAGGATTCCTCTTCTTTCCTCCTTTTACTCTTTGCGAATCTGAGTGAAACAGAGATGTCTATAAAACGATGCTTTAAAAAATGAGGTGCTAAAAGCTGAGTGAATGTACTGCTCTTTGCCAAGAAAGTGGGGGTAGCATAAAAATAGCTTTATTCCTCTTCTCTGTTTAGGTTTCTATAATTCAGTTGTATAGTGATCATCTCTATTACCTTTTAGAAAATGTAATCTACTCCTGATTATGAAACATGGAAGTTAGGGGGAAAGACAAGTGAGTTTTATTTCAGGGGAGTTTGAAATTATAAGTGGGCAACAGAGATAGTCTCCACATATCACTTGCATTCAACCTGTTTTCCATTTGTATGCACTACTTACCATTACTTAATAAATTACACCATTTTAGATTTTTAAAAATTCCTAATTTAGAGAATAGAAATTGTATTTCACGTGATAAACAATAAGACTATCTGACAAGTATGTCGCTTTATTTGGTCTTTGTGTGACTTGTCAAACTTAAAAAAAAAAAATCAGAGATCAGTTCAAAGTAAATTAGTCAAATTAGCTTCAAATTTCTTCCCCAAAGCAACCATAGTATGAGTTAGGAAGTGTAACAAATCCCATTTAATCCTTAAAAATTTAATTAATTAAGAGTTGAACAAGAGCTAATGCAGGTCTCTTTGACTGAATTCACCATAAAATCCATAGGTGACACGACTCGGTACCACTTCACTCCTACTTAAAGTGGCCACTACCATTTCACCTCAAGAGGCCACGAGCGTGTGCGTAGCAAGGGCTGTCTCGGCAGGCATAAATGTAAATTTCACGTTCATTTAAATAGAACTTTCCCGTATCCTCTACAAGAGAAAAAGAGTTTGTAAATGTCTTTTATTAAAAATGTTAGTCTTTGGCAATGCGACAATAGGAAATTCTGAAGTGATTTAATGAAGACTGATGGAGCGGAGAAATGAAATGGGGTGCACGGCCCAGCCCACAGTCATGGCCAAGCTGTATCCTTCCAAAGATGATTGAATGGATAGAACAGTGGAAGCTTTTAGTAAGACCTCAGAAGTCTGAACAGCAACATATTTCTTTTAAAACACTTTAGAATAATTTCACTGTGGGCCAGTGTGGCAAATCAATTAGGAAAACTGTGTAAGTCTGCATTACAGAGGAGGGAAGAAAAAAAAAATGAGTTAGTGGAAAGAGTTCCACATTTGACTAAAGAATTGTGGATGGATATTACGAAAAAAAGACCTTTGAAGGGATCTGACAGTACCGGGCGAGGTGAAGTACCTTTGTATACGCAATGGGTTAGAGAGGAGAACGATGTGGGCAAACTGTCTTGTCCACATGCATCCTTATCCCCCTATCCCAACCCTATAATCCTGGTCCAACCACTGCATCTGTTGCCTGGACTGCTCTGTAACAGCCTTCTAATTAGTCGCTGCTCTCGCTCTTACCTTGCAATAATCCATTTTCCTCAGAACAGCACAAGTGATCTTTTTAAATACATAAATCAGATCATGTCACTCCTTTGCCTGAAACATTAAGTGGCTTCCACCACAATAAAATCTAACTTCCCTCCGTGATTTAAAAAGCTTTCTGTGACCCGGCCCCGATCTACCTCTCTGTCCTTACTCATTATTTCCTAACTAACTACCCCAGCTTTCTTTTATTCCTCAAACATCAAATAGCTCATGTCTCTCTTAGAGCCAGGCACTGGCTAGCTCCTTTCCTTCTTACGCTCATTTCTGGCTTCTCCTCAGCATTCAACCTCAGAATAAAAGTTCTCTCCTTTGAGACGTCTCCCCTGATCACCTAATAGAAGGTTGTCACCTAGCCAGTGTCTATCAAAGCACTCTCCTTGAACTCTCTGAAGTACTGGTCCCCATAGGCTATTTTCATTTACCTGGATATTAACTATCTCCTCCAAGCAGAAGGTAAGCATCATGATGCAAGGACTTTGCTTTGCTCAGGCTGTTTCTACAGCCCATTGAACAGTGTCGAGCCCAGGGCAGTACCAAATAGATACTTGTTGCTGAATAAATGTAGTTTTTAGAGTGAACGTTAGGTGGGGCACCTGGATGGCTCAGTTGGTTAAGCAGCTGCCTTTGGCTCAGGTCAAGGTCACAGGGTCCTGGTATGGAGTCCCATATTGGCCTCCTTGGTCAGCAGGGAGCCTGCTTCTCCCTCTGCCCACCGCTCCCCCTGCTTGTGCTCTGTCCCCACGCCCCCTCTCTTTGACAAATAAACTCTTTAAAAAAAATTAGAGTGAATGGAAGGTGATTTTTAGTTGAAGTCACCAAACTATGGGATATATACCATAAAACCTACAAGCTATGAAAGAAAGTTAGACTGCTGAATTCTCAGCCATGTCTGAGGACAAATCCTGTAGTCTTTATACTTCCCCATGTAGCTTCTCCTTTTTGTGTGAGTCACAAACCATTGAAAGTCACATGTCATATCCAATGTTTCTGGTTGTTCCAATAGTAGTCTGATAAAATGCCTACTGCCATTTTCCCAAGAACATCTGGACCTCCCTTCAAAATCACATTTGCAGACATCATAGTGGAGAGGTGTGTTATGCTATTAACTATCCTTCCAAAGAAAAGCAAGGACAATTTATAGAACTCCAGACTATCTGAAGTTGGCAGATGGAATGGCCTGCAACAGCAAAAAGGAAAATAATTCTACACTCCTTGAAAGTGTGGTTGTGAGGGCTCCGCAAAGCTCCGCTCTGCAACTTCATATCATTCATCGGAAAAATGGGGTTTTAGAGATACTTACCTGGAAGGATTTTTTTGAGGATAAGGAATAACATGGGAGAAAAGCCTAGCACATAGGAAGCAGTTCAAAGATGGGGATTCTTACTCTTTTTACATTTTTCCCCCTTAATGTTCTTAAAAGCATATCGCAAGACCTGAATAAGAAATTTTGTAACAGTGGTATTTAGAAAAAGGCAAGAGCATCACATTTTCAGTGAGCACCCACAGAGAATTTCGGGTCTCTCCGAGCACCCACACTGGCAGGTCTCCCCATCATTCTTCACCATGGAGTAGTTTTCCAGGAATTTGTATCAGTATTCTAAAGGGATCTTCCCAGGATCTGCACTATATGGTTGGTAAGTCTGTACACTGTGCAAAGGCACCTGGCCAAGAGGGTGAGTGGGGGGCTGGAACCCAGCCCGCATTCTTGTCATTGAGCTCTATGCCCAGGGACCTGGGTTGCACAGAGGCTGCATTTCCCTCATGTGTATAGAGGCATCCTAGAGAGTCTCTACCTGGCCCTCCCAAGTATATTATTTTCCAAAATATCTTACATTTGCACAACACGGCTGAACGGCATATAAAAAGTCAGCAACTATCTTGTTAACATTTTCTGAGGTCTTCATTGTTTTTATTTGCTTGAGTAATTCGGGGGGCGCGGGGGTGGGGGTTGTTAAATCTACTGCTTCTGTCCCAGCGGTCTCAGTAACAATGCGTATTCAAAACCCTCAACAAACTCGCCTGCGTCAGGGACCTCGCTTGTGTGTGAAGAAGGCGCTTCTCACCTAGGACATGTGGTTCTGCTGTGTTTGCTGCTGCTGCTGCTGTTGCTGTTGCTGAATGAGCAGCTGCTGCTGCTGCCGGCGCCTGGCCGTGCGGAGCTTCTCGAAGCGCGCCTCCATTTCTTCCAGGACTTTGGGGGTGTAGCGGACCACCAGCTTGACGCTGTCTTTAGCAGCCTTGAGCAGCTCCACCGCTTTCTCGTGGTGCTCCCCTTCCACGCTCTGAAAAGACAGGGGCAGCGCTGAAAGGGGAGAGCTCGCGCCCTCTTCTCCCTGCGAGACCCATCTGCCATTAGAGTCTCATTCAAATCCCGGTTTGACAGGTCAAGAAGGCACGGCGGATGGGACGCGCTGCTAGGACTGTTGTTATTTACTGCGTTTGTGGTCGAAGGAGAGGCAGGTTAGGGCGCACTAGGGACAGGACGGATTGAATAGCGGTTCAGGTTTGGAGGGTGAGAAGCCACCAAGACCTAAGAGACCTCGCTAACGTTGAGCCTGGGATTCAGCTGGAAGAGGAAATGCACTGGCCAAGGAAATTCTGAAAGAATTTAAGAAAAAAATAATACGAAGAGGAACTTTCGCTATCAGAGACTGATGTGATTGGGAATCTATCACGATTAAAGCAGTGTCTTATTGTTGTAGGGACAGACAGAACACAGAGTCTAGAAGCTGATCCATCATGCGTAAAACTTTGTTATATGATAAATGTGGAATTTAGACCAAAGGGGGAAAGGACGGCTAAATAATGATGCTGAAACAAATCATTAAATGATAGAAAATAATGTAGAGCCCGATCTCCTAGACTATGCTAAACATAACCAATTACAAATTTACATGGAAAAATAAAACCACAAAACAACTAAAATGAAGCAGAGCCGAAACGTTCATCTGGCAATGGAGAAAGAATGCTTAGGTAAAAATGCCAAGGGGGGAAAAAAAATCACAAAATCAGATTTACAAATTGTAAGTTTCTATATCTCATGTAAAATAAAAAGGCCAAATAACAAGAAAAAATATTCTTAGTATATGACAATTTGTTCATATTCTTACCATGAAGGACTCTGAAGAGTCTATAAAGTCCTAACAAGATGGGCTCATGAACTCAGGGACAAATAATTAAAATAAAACAAAACAAAACAAAAAAACACCCTATGAAAGGATGTTTAAGCTCCCTTGCAATGAAAGAAGTACAGATGAAAACAAAATACTTCATTTATAATTATAATTTTAAAATGGTGAATATGTATTTTTTAAAATAGGGTGTATTTGCAAGGACCGCGGGAAATGGGACTGTCATACAAGGCTAGTAACTTAACACAAACTGACACGATTTTTCCAGAGAGCATTATTGTTATGCATCAAATAAGCCCTTTGTAAAGAATAGTTTATTTTCAGAAAAAATTACCAAGGATATAATCAGATATGCACACATACCTATAAGGTAGGAATGATGCAGCAGAAAGCAAAAAATAAATCACTTCTTGGCTTTTGAGTTCCAAGTCTTGTAGACATCATGGTATAGATAATAGTTGGGAAACTATGTTTTTACTACAAGTAGGTACAAAGAGGTTTCTATTCCCAAACATTCTAAAGATTCTCCAGGTTGGGATTAGGGAGAGGCGAAACAGAAGAAAGCTGTAATCAGACATTACAGGGCCCTAAGAAAAGGAGATAATCTTCCCTGTCAGCTGATCCTCGGGGCAGATAACCTAACTCATATTTTATAGGATCAAAGTGCACAGGTCTTTTTGACTTGCTTCCTGGATAAAGCTCCCAGAAAAAAAAATGTCTGCATGAGGAGATAGGCTGAGAGAGTGTCAGAATACCTAAGAGTGGACTGAAGTGGCCAGGGAGGCCACCCCAGGTTGGTTGAGATCACATTTTATAACCCAAGCAGAAAGGGGTCTAAAAATGGTATTATATCGAGCTACAAAAAAATAAAGTGAGTTGCATTTCTTTTTTTTTTTTAATTTATTTATTTATATTTTTTTTAAATTTTATTTTTTATAAACATATAATATATTTTTATCCCCAGGGGTACAGGTCTGTGAATCGCCAGGTTTACACACTTCACAGCACTCACCATAGCACATACCCTCCCCAATGTCCATAATCCCACGCCCTCTCCCAACCCCCCTCCCCCCATCAACCCTCAGTTTGTTTTGTGAGATTAAGAGTCACTTATGGTTTGTCTCCCTCCCAATCCCATCTTGTTTCATTTACTCTTCTCCTACCCCCTTAACCCACCATGTTGCATCTCCTCTCCCTCATATCAGGGAGATCATATGATAGTTGTCTTTCTCTGATTGACTTATTTCGCTAAGCATGATACCCTCTAGTTCCATCCACGTCGTCGCAAATGGCAAGATTTCATTTCTTTTGATGGCTGCATAGTATTCCATTGTGTATATATACCACATCTTCTTTATCCATTCATCTGTTGATGGACATCTAGGTTCTTTCCATAGTTTGGCTATTGTAGACATTGCTGCTATAAACATTCGGGTGCACGTGCCCCTTCGGATCACTACGTTTGTATCTTTAGGGTAAATACCCAGCAGTGCAATTGCTGGGTCATAGGGTAGTTCTATTTTCAACATTTTGAGGAACCTCCATGCTGTTTTCCAGAGTGGTTGCACCAGCTTGCATTCCCACCAACAGTGTAGGAGGGTTCCCCTTTCTCCGCATCCTCGCCAGCATCTGTCATTTCCTGACTTGTTAATTTTAGCCATTCTGACTGGTGTGAGGTGATATCTCATTGTGGTTTTGATTTGTATTTCCCTGATGCCGAGTGATGTGGAGCACTTTTTCATGTGTCTATTGGCCATCTGGATGTCTTCTTTGCAGAAATGTCTGTTCATGTCCTCTGCCCATTTCTTGATTGGATTATTTGTTCTTTGGGTGTTGAGTTTGCTAAGTTCTTTATAGATTTTGGACACTAGCCCTTTATCTGATATGTCGTTTGCAAATATCTTCTCCCATTCTGTCAGTTGTCTTTTGGTTTTGTTAACTGTTTCCTTTGCTGTGCAAAAGCTTTTGATCTTGATAAAATCCCAATAGTTCATTTTTGCCCTTGCTTCCCTTGCCTTTGGCGATGTTCCTAGGAAGATGTTGCTGCGGCTGAGGTCGAAGAGGTTGCTGCCTGTGTTCTCCTCAAGGATTTTGATGGATTCCTTTCTCACATTGAGATCCTTCATCCATTTTGAGTCTACTTTTGTGTGTGGTGTAAGGAAATGATCCAATTTCATTTTTCTGCATGTGGCTGTCCAATTTTCCCAACACCATTTATTGAAGAGGCTGTCTTTTTTCCATTGGACATTCTTTCCTGCTTTGTCGAAGATTCGTTGACCATAGAGTTGAGGGTCTATTTCTGGGCTCTCTATTCTGTTCCATTGATCTATGTGTCTGTTTTTGTGCCAGTACCATGCTGTCTTGATGATGACAGCTTTGTAATCGAGCTTGAAGTCCGGAATTGTGATGCCACCAACTTTGGCTTTCTTTTTCAATATTCCTTTGGCTATTCGAGGTCTTTTCTGGTTCCATATAAATTTTAGGATTGTTTGTTCCATTTCTTTGAAAAAAATGGATGGTACTTTGATAGGAATTGCATTAAATGTGTAGATTGCTTTAAGTAGCATAGACATTTTCACAATATTTATTCTTCCAATCCAGGAGCATGGAACATTTTTCCATTTCTTTGTGTCTTCCTCAATTTCTTTCATGAGTGCTTTATAGTTTTCTGTGTATAGATTCTTAGTCTCTTTGGTTAGGTTTATTCCTAGGTATCTTATAGTTGTGGGTGCAATTGTAAATGGGATGGACTCCTTAATTTCTCTTTCTTCTGTCTTGTTGTTGGTGTAGAGAAATGCAACTGATTTCTGTGCATTAATTTTGTATCCTGACACTTTACTGAATTCCTGTACAAGTTCTAGCAGTTTGGGAGTGGAGTCTTTTGGGTTTTCCACATATGGTATCATATCATCTGCAAAGAGTGATAGTTTGACTTCTTCTTTGCCGATTTGGATGCCTTTAATTTCCTTTTGTTGTCTGATTGCTGAGGCTAGGACTTCTAGTACTATGTTGAATAGCAGTGGTGATAACGGACATCCCTGCCGTGTTCCTGACCTTAGCGGAAAAGCTTTCAGTTTTTCTCCATTGAGAATGATATTTGCGGTGGGTTTTTCATAGATGGCTTTGATAATATTGAGGTATGTGCCCTCTATCCCTACACTTTGAAGAGTTTTGATCAGGAAGGGATGCTGTACTTTGTCAAATGCTTTTTCAGCATCTATGGAGAGTATCATATGGTTCTTGTTCTTTCTTTTATTAATGTGTTGTATCACATTGATTGATTTGCGGATGTTGAACCAATCTTGCAGCCCTGGAATAAATCCCACTTGGTCGTGTGAATAATCCTTTTAATGTACTGTTGAATCCTATTGGCTAGTATTTTGGCGAGAATTTTTGCATCTGTGTTCATCAAGGATATTGGTCTGTAGTTCTCTTTTTTGATGGGATCCTTGTCTGGTTTTGGGATCAAGGTGATGCTGGCCTCATAAAATGAGTTTGGAAGTTTTCCTTCCATTTCTATTTTTTGGAACAGTTTCAGGAGAATAGGAATTAGTTCTTCTTTAAATGTTGGGTAGAATTCCCCCGGGAAGCCATCTGGCCCTGGGCTTTTGTTTGTTTGGAGATTTTGGATGACTGTTTCAATCTCCTTACTGGTTATGGCTCTGTTCAGGCTTTCTATTTCTTCCTGGTTCAGTTGTGGTAGTTTATATGTCTCTAGGAATGCATCCATTTCTTCCAGATTGTCAAATTTGTTGGCATAGAGTTGCTCATAGTATGTTCTTATAATTGTCTGTATATATTTGGTGTTAGTTGTGATCTCTCCTCTTTCATTCATGATTTTATTTATTTGGGTCCTTTTTCTTTTCTTTTTGATAAGTCTGGCCAGGGGTTTATCGATCTTATTAATTCTTTCAAAGAACCAGCTCCTAGTTTCGTTGATTTGTTCTATTGTTTTTTTGGTTTCTATTTCATTGATTTCTGCTCTGATCTTTATGATTTCTCTTCTCCTGCTGGGTTTAGGCTTTCTTTCTTGTTCTTTCTCCAGCTCCTTTAGGTGTAGGGTTAGGTTGTGTACCTGAGACCTTTCTTGTTTCTTGAGAAAGGCTTGTACCGCTATATATTTTCCTCTCAGGACTGCCTTTGTTGTGTCC